AAAAAAAAAAAAAAAAAGGAAAACACTGGGTGGATGAGTGAACAAATGAAAGTTTCTCATTTTATGTACCATATGTCTGCTGTACCATTTGTGTAGAATTTGGTGTACCCAAAATTATCCTGGAAGGGAATAAGATGAAATATTAAGAATGGTTATCTCTGAGTGGTAGGAGTCTGAGAAAAGTTTTTTTTTTTTTCATTTTGATATTTTTTCTTTATGAACTTTCCAAATCTTCTGTAAGGCATGTGAATAGCTTTTATTGTCAGAAAAAAGTAAAAAAGTGTTATGTTTTCTTTTTATTGTTCTGCCACACTTAGCTATTTTTTTAATTTAAGGGAATTTTGACTTTCAACTACATTTAACAAAGATATTTGTTTTGTTGTTTTTCAAGATTCAAACTGGAAACCACTTAGTTAATATGTTGAAAAGATTTTATGTATTGACAGCTGAACACTAATATGTCAAATGTAGTGCAAATTTCCCTCGCATATGTTTTATTGGAATTATAGATTTTTAAGTCCATTAGACTATCCAGTCCATCTCTGGCTTCCTTGGATATTGAAAAGAGCTCTTCATTTGACTCTGATCGTATCATTTGTTATGTCCAGGAAGCTATATGTGATCTCTCATATTATTATTATTAAGCTTTTCCAACGTATTTAGAGGAATAAAAAATTATCCGTTTTTGGCTTATCAAAAATACAACAAATTAGAGGATAAGTCAAGGAAGGGACATTTTCATTTCACTTTACTCAGACTATGCATATGGCTCTATCTTGGACACATCACTGATGCCCTTGGATCTGTTCTCATCTATGAAAAGAAGATTCATGCTCATTGATAGAAATCTGTAGGAAATTGTACTGTTTAATGTCTAAGCAATAAATACAATCTAGAAAAGTTATTTGTCAATTAGTCTTCTACAAATAAAATAAGTAGACTTTGCTTTAGTGAATTAAACTAATTGTCATGTAAATAACTATTATAGGGTTGTATAGTAGGCAAAACAATGGCCTCTTTTAAAGATGTCCATGTTCCAATCTCTGGAAACTGTGAATATGTTGCCTTATGTGGCAGAAGTTTTTTTGCAGCAATGATTAAATTATGGATTTTGAAATAGGGGGGTTTTCCTGGATTAGCTGGGTGAGCCCAAGAAGGAGGCAGGAAAGAGAGAGAAGTGAGGATGACAGAAGGAGAGGTCAGAAGAGAGATGATGGCCAGTTGTGGTGGCTCACACCTGTAATCCCAGCACTTTGGGAGGCTGAAATGTGCAGATCACCTGAGATCAGGAGTTCGAGACCAGCCTGGCCAACATGGTGAAAACCCATCTCTACTAAAAATACAAAAATTAGCTGGGTATAGTGGTGAACACCTGTAATACCAGCTACTTGGGAGGCTGAGGCAGGAGAATTACTTGAACTGGGAGACAGAGATTGCAGTGAACCGAGATCATGCCACTGCACTCCAGCCTGGGCCACAGATCAAGACTCCATCTCAATTAAAAAAAAAGGAAAAAGAAAAAAGAAAGAAGAGAGAAGATGCTATGCTGCTAGCTTTGAAGGTGGAGGCTACAAGTCAAGGGATGTAGGGGGTCCCTAGAAGCTGGAAAAGGCAAGGAAATGCATTTTCT